GAAACTGTCTGCTGCCGCGCGCCAAGCTCAAGCTTTCACCTCTTCCCACTACACCACACCCTCGACAGAGAAACTAACCCTTAAAGCTGTAGCCGGAAAACACACTCCTGCAACCGCCCAAAAGAGTCTGAAGTAACTTTCAACCGTGAGGGAACAGCCGCTTCTGTGGAAAGAAGTTTCTGCGTGTGCCAAACAAAAGGAAGCGCCGAACACCACTTCTTCCAAACATTTTGCACACCGGGGCCTAAAGCTTCTGCTGTACGGAGAATCGCCACTTCTCCTTGCCGCACATACTCTCGAGCAGCTCGGTCTGACGACCAGCGACCAAAAAGCATCACATCAGCAAAGGGGACCCCCCGACGAGTGAGCTCAGATGCCCCTGAGCGCCGAAAGGAATGAGTGGTTAAAGGCACGCCCACAGCACCCAACAGACCTGCCAGCTTCTTCACCCAGCGTAGGACCGAAGAGTAAGACATGGAGAAAAGCAATGCGTTTGAATTCTTTGGTTTCTGACTTGCACGAAATTGCACGACCCAATCTGCCACCACTTGGTTGGTGAGCAGGACCTTCTGTTCAATGCCATTTTTGGTCACGCCCAAGCATAAAGTGACACCGGACGGGCTCAGAAAGACGTCCTTCCAACGCAACTGGAGTGCCTCACCTACACGAAGCAAGCCAGCAAAACATATGCAAATAAGGAGTCCTAAATCCGCTCGGTTCAATGCAAAGCAGGCCACCATCATGGCAGTGATCAGTTCGGGTGGAGCTGCCGCCGCTTGCTGCGGTGGCTTCAGCTTTCCCCAAACCTCAAAGACCTTCCACGCAACTTTGTACCTGACCCGTGGATTGATGCGTCCCAAGGCGGACAGTAGTGAGCCGAATTCGGCCCTTCCAAGGCCTTGCTCATAGCCATCGACCATCCATTCTGCAAGAAAATAATCTTGTTGCACTTCAGACAGCTTGCCCCACTGGATACCAGCAGTCTGTAGCTCATTGTTGAGGAATTGCAGTGCGTTTTGATACTTCTCTTTTGTGGTATCTCTCAATGCACTCATCAAGAAACGTTCCACTCGGGGATGGCCATTCCCAAGCCGTACGCACTGTGCGCACGTAAGGGTCCAGGCCAGTGTGGTTAGCAGCATGCATGGTCGGAGCGAAGGGCATGGTGTAACCATGCCCCACAGCATGGGCATAACGCGCAAGAAAAAGGTTCCCTAACCACATGCTCATGCCAACAGGATATTTTGCAGCAACCGTGGTTCTAAAAGCCCCCGTCACTGGATCAATGCCTGTAAGCGGTTCATGCCGATGTGAATGATCACACCTAAACATCGTGGCGTCCGTGCCCTTGGGCAAAACAAGTCCGGTGGGTTTCGTTGAAGGAGCACCAAACATACATTGGTCAACTCTGCTATAGTCGAGTCCAAAACGATTCATCAACGCATGCATCTCTTGCGAGTTGAAAACAGAAGGAAAAGGATCACACCCTCGATCATGGGGATGTTCGAAACCGGTCCAACCTCCCACTGCGCGAGTCTCGCCTAGAAATCCAACGCATAACAATGACAAGGCTGAACCCAAATAAACAGAATCTTTCTCCCTTTCGGACAAGTTTGCCAAAGGCTGCCATACACGCTGTCGGCTTCGCAAAGGTCGTGGCCCCTGCCGCCCCCGCCCCAAGGCACGGTGCCTTGCTGCGGAGAACGTTGAACACGGTGGAGAAGCAAACATTCCAATAACCCGTCGACTATGAACCAAGTGAAGAATAGTTAATCCATCCTCTGTCCTCAACAGATCTGACGCTTCTCTCTGTTGTACTAAAGGGTCGACCCGGATACCGACAATGTGAAACCCTTGGTCATCTGCCAAGGTCCCGATGCAAGAAACTAGATCCCCGTCACGCTGCACTCCTGCGCACAAGTGCACGAAGACCCGCTCGTTACCGGTCCAGTCGCGAAGAGTGAAAGGGTCCACAAACAATGTTTCGAGTGCTGGCAGGCCATCATCGCCCTTGTCTTGCGTTTTGTGTTTGCTGATCTCCTCCTCTACTGTTCCATACCAACGTGATGGTGCATCCGCTGGATTGTCACCTGACGGGATCCATGGATAGAACACTTCATGCCCTCCAGCGACACCGATTGCACATAACCGCTGGCAACGACAGTTGAGAAGAAAACTGGCCGATCTACCTTTGTTGAATGCCCCAACACACGACGCACTGTCCATGGGATGCACAAATCTCTTGCCATCATCTCCTGGCCTTCGAAGCCTGTCCTCTGCACTCCAGGTCGCTGCGTCAGCCTCGCCCAGGTAGATGAACCTGGGATTTGCTGGTGCTCCAATTTGGTGCCAATGAAAACGCTGGTGCGGGAAGTTCAGCTTCTTCAATGGACAGGTTCCTTGCTCTGTCAGGCCTATACCATGTGGAAGGCTCATGTTCGTATACGTACCATTGTGATCGCACACCTGAGCCATGAGCTGCACCAGTGAAGTGGGCATGGTGGCCCATGCTCTTCCAATGCCTGTCATGGACGCATCAGTGCACTCAACCCGATTTGAAAAATCTGCAGATAGGTCGAATTGAGCGAAAGGCAACAACACACTTGCACTTAAGATCTCAATCCAAATCTCATCTGACAAAACTGCTCTGCGGATCCCTTGACTGCGATTGTTGTCTAGCCATCTGTAGGTCTCCGCAAAGACTGATCTCAATATAGGCCGACACGAATGCACATATCCAAACTTCCCAACCAGCCTCTCCACGTCCGCAAGCAACACCCAGGGCTCCGCCAACAAGTGCACCGCTGCCTGCAAAAGCTTTTGCCGCTTCGGAAAACTCACCCCCATCCAATGTTTGCCTGAATCAACGTAAATGCCCTGGATCTCTTGGTCGACATCAGCGTTGACTGCTTTCTTTGGGTTGGGATGCACTCCAAAGGATTGCCAGGCCTCCTCTGCCGCTGCCATCCATCTTGGCCCCATCAGGCTGTCCGGTCCACTGCCTTCGTGCTCAAGGGCCCAGATGTCATCGCATATCGAACCCCAAACCGGCAGCTCCGAGGGAGGATAGGAGTCAGGGACTACTCGCCTACCATCCGGAAGTCCTCCCTTCTCCGTGGCTAGATCTGTGACAGCCTGAGCCCAGCCTGCACTGGGCCCAAACCCCATTGGCGCCGTCCTCGCAGCAGGATAGACCAGGCGTCCGTTCACACCTGTAATGGGTGGCCCACACAACCAACGCATCCACTTGTGCCCGATACGCAGACTGTGAAAATAATGCCTAGCATCCCTCTTAGACACCAACAGCTTGCCTGTACGGGGTGCATAAGTCACCCTCATTTTTGGGATATAAGCAAAACGAGGCCGCGGGAGTCTGTCAGGATCAAGCAACTGGTTAACGGCCGGATCAGTTATTACCCGATCTTCAGTCGCGTCCTTGGCCACCGCAAAAGCACCTGTCAGACAAAGTTTGCCACGATGCTTTGCCACCTGGGAGAGCTTCTTTGGTCCATGCAACCCAGCCTTCATGTTCTTTCGAACCAGATTCGGATAGCTAGCATGTAACCAGACATGTCCTCTCTTGATCTTGACTGGTCTTCTTCGGGAGGGCAACAAAAGTGCTTTAGGTTCATTGACTTGTAAGGCTAATTCAGGAAAACGTTCCTCGAACAACCCATGCAAATCTACCGTTGCGGCTGAGGTTGGCACTCCACCTCTCTCGCCCAGCGGAATTGCGGCTCCTCCTCCAGCATAATGCTGATGATGCTTCAAAAACTCCTGGACACCTTCTTTGTCCAGAAACTCGAAATCCACCATCATGGATTCCAAGCCTGACTTCAAACGAGCCTGAACACGAGTCTGAGCAGCCGTGATAAACGAAGCACGTTGACCACCACCCCCATGCAGCATGTTGAGAACTGCCTGTACAATGTTCACACCACGAGCCCACGTCAACTGATCTCCAGTGAGGCTTGAACCCATAGTGTATTGCACCACTGCCCCATCGCTCGAAAACGGAGGAAGTGGAAAAACACGATGCAAACTGTGTCCTGAAAAAGAATCTTTGTACGAACTCTTCTTGAATTCTTGTGCTCTCCTCAGACGGCCTTGCTCCCGCCCCAGCCTCCATATGCACTGTCCTAACAAATGCACTGAGCCAGCATGGGCCAGAACTTTTTCGACTGAAGAAAACAACATGCATGCATAGTCCACACCCGAAGTTGGGGCACCGTGCAGCTGCTTCCAACTCCAGATAGACTTCCTGAGCCTTGAGGCTAGTTGGTAAGGGCCAGCATTGCATTGCTGGCCAAAGCCGTGCCCGATGGGATGAGTTCGATAGTTTCTGCTTTTTCCCAACTGCCTCCTTTCTTCTTGGCCTGCTGCACCGCCAGGATTCGTTGTGCTAACACATCCATTGCACGAGCGATCTCTTTCCTGTTGATGCAGTCCATGGCCTCCGCGATCGTCAATACCTCGCGAACATCTCGAATCTCCGAAAGGCCGGAGTGCTGGGCCGCCCACTGGCTGACATTGGCTTCCCGCAGCTGGGAGCTGCGAGTCACTCTTCCCTTTGAAAGCCGTGCGTAGATCGAGGCCAGAAAATGGGCGGACAATGCCCCCGGATGCTTTGTCGCATAAGCCAGCAGCTCGCCTTTCCGCTTGAACTTCTGGGCGTCCACTGCATGAACTTCCTCGTAATCGACCCGCCTTCCTCTTCCTTTGAGGTCCCATCGCAGAGGCCCCGACTGACTCGATCCGGTTCCACTGCTGCTGGACCTGCTTGACCGGGACCTTGAGCTCGAGCTTGTCCGACTGCTGGAACTGCGATGCTTTTTCTTCTTCTTCTTGCTCTTCTTGTCCTTCTTCTTCTTGTGCTTGGATTTTCGGTCCTTCTTGGACTTGCCACTCTGTCGTGACATCTCCTTCAACTCCTGGATGACGTCGGATAGGGCCTGCATGTTGAAGCCATCCGCCTGCCCAGCCGGAGCATCTCCTCCGACCGCAGGCCCGAGCGCCCCTGCACCCCCTGGTGCTGGCTGAACCAAAGCCCCGCCTGGCGCCACTGGCCCCAGCTGCAGCTCTTGAACGTCTCCTCCACTGCCCGGCACTGTCATCGCCATGTTCCTGAGACCTTGACGGCTCACATGAAGCGCCAAGAGCTGCGCCTCCTGCTTGAGAGACAACACCTCTGCCGGGGTTGGACTCCACTTTTGATCCAAGCTCTCCGGTGCGCAAATCCAATTGATGGATCCCCCCGGAACTCCGGCCGGAGCGGTTCGTGCATTTCCAGCCCCGGTAGGAAAACGAATTGCTGCTGGCACCACTTGAACTAAGGTCCAAATCCATGATGTCCCGTCAGCGTTTGTCGTCCTAGCCAGTAGTTCGGTCGAGCCCGGCACTACTCCAGCTGACCAAACTTCGTCCCACTCTCCAGCTCGTTCCAGAAGCAAAAACCCCTCCACTGCTGCCGCGGCCATTTGATGGCAGGTGAACTCCACGTGGTCTGTTCCAGCAAAGGGAGAGCCAGCACTGGATTCAACACGAATCGGATCAGAAGCCTTCTTCAAGGACAGGAGGTAGACAGCCACTCGAAACAGAAATCTCACTACTGTCAACAGCTCACAACGCAGCTCGTAAAACAGCAAGAAACAACCAATGTAAAAAGCAAGCTGTCCAACCGCTTCAACCTGATCCTCTATGTAATCCAGAACCTGCAAAGCCCAACTCGTTGCCAATTTTCCCACGGTATGCGAACCCCAAACAGCTACCGAAATCTTGAGATAGCCGATGTAAGATGCACCTGATGCTATGGCAGCTGGGGCTACTACCTTCAGGCTCATTTGGGCTTGAGCCAAATTCAAATTCGTCATGAACCTCCATGCACGATCCAGGTGGAAAGGAAAAGGTGTTGAAGGGCACTACAAAATCCAAATATGGTACTAAACTCCCTTCCAGTGGAGAAACGAAACTCATCCAAAACCTGCAGGTTCCACCGGATCTAAGCCATAGCCAGATCTCTTGGGATGGGTCTGGCTCAGAATGTTTTGGGTCCAACACTGGTTTTGGACCATTCTGGTCCACGCCCATTTTCTTAATTTTCTCCCCAGGCATGGTTTGCTGCTTGGCTTGATGGCCAAGGTTCTTCTCCTCCACTTCTGCAGTGCTCGGGCCCGCAGAAGTGGAATCTCCAGGGCTCCAACACCGGTTTCCTGAGCACCCAAAAGGATGTAGGGCCACTGCTTGACTGTTTGCACAGCTAGCTTGTCTGCAAAAGACCTAGAGCGTTCAACAATTTCGCTGTCGGAGCCAACATGAACAGATACACTCAAATATACGTACACAATGCCCCAAGATCATTCACCCTAGCTCCATGAGGTCATGAGGTGGGACTAAGCTAGGCCCTGGGACACCGGGCATTGTGCTGGCTAGTTGGCTCTTGTAGGGGGAACGGACAGATGATGAGACGGGCAGAGAATTGATTACAAGTGACTTTGGATCTATATAAGGAGCGTGTGCTTTCTTAGTAAGATTCCTCTGTTCATTGTTCATCAAAGGGGCTACCAACGTTTGACCTTTGTATCTGTCCTTCGTTCTGCTCTTCTTCTGGCGGCAAGTCTTCCTCACGGCGCGTCAGCAACCCTTGTGAAGTGACTCTTGGTGTCAACTGACTCTGCAAACAACATGACGAACGCCAGCAACCTTGCTGCCTTCCAATTCTGCCTGTCCTTCGATTCTGCCATCAAAGGCAGCACAAAAAGCGATGTCTTGAAGCGTTTGATGATGCCCCTGAGTGCTCTAAGTAGGCTTCTGTGGAAGTGGCCAAAGCGGCCAAGAAGTCAAGAGTCATGCTGGAGGGTCCCCAACCACTCGGGTCTAGAGAGTTGAATGCTTTGGCTTTGACCGCGTCAATTCGCTGAAACGGCCACAAGCAAGGCCATGAGTTCCGGGCGAAAATGTTGCCTTGTCACCAAATTCTTTGCGAGGAATGAGTCGAATGAGTCGAATGAGCGAACAGTTATCAAAAGCTGTCCTCCCAACAAGCAAAAGCATCTTGCAGTCGGTCACTCAGGCAGATCCTTCATGCACAAGCAAGACAACCTTCTTTTTTACTTCGCTTTTCACGCAAGACAACCTTCTTCGGATTCACCGACCCAACGGATTCACGTTCGTTCGTGAAGTCATTGCACATATTGTCACGTCACATCTCTGGTGCATCCAAAGAAGAGGGCCCTACTCGGTGAAACTTTGGTGCGAACGAGTCTGCTTGAGTGCTCTCCAATTGCACCTTGTTACTAGTAGGGATGCACTTTGCTACTAGTAGCTTCTTGTTGCACTTGTTACTAGTAGTACCTCAATTGCACATGGAGGATGAAAACCTCAAATCGAGTTCCGCTTCTTTCGTCGCAGTTGTCAGTTGTCATGTGCATTGATCATGTTGGATGGATTGTTGTGTTAGGGCCTATTAGGGGTTCTTCAGCAAATCAACCCACTGGAATCGCCTTGCGATTTCCTCGACCCCACGTGCTCAAAAACCGCTCCGCGAAACCTCCTGATCAACTCCTTTGGTCCAATGCACCCGAAAAAATGATTCATGTGTTGTTCCTTCTCATGCGGAAACAGGAAACCTCTCATGCGGCAAGGGGTTTTCTCGTCTCCATCGGAATATGTTTTTGGGTTCTTCATAGTTCTTCTCTCTTTACTCCTGAGATGTTAAGCCGTCATCGGCAGATCCTCGTCTCCAGCACGCTGGGACTCAGTGGTCCTACTGCTGCCATCTGTGCTCTGGTGATCATCATGATCATCCCAGAGTCGTGTGAAATAACGAACATACCATAGCACTGCCTTGGCCACATGGATCTCTCTCAAGATGGAAATCGTAAGGTTGCTTGAGAAGTTGGATTGCGACAGGAGTTGCTCTCAGGTTTCCCTAAATTGAAACACAAAAAGGCAAAAAAACATGTCCACCACAATGTCAGCCTGATGATAGCCAATGCCGCCAGACACTGCAAACACATACAGTTCTGACAAAGGTCGTGGGGATGCCAACAGCTGGGAATGCCGGGCATTCTTCCTCTGATATCCCTCTCGTTCGCCAAGCCACCCAAGCACTCCCGATGCAAGCACCAGTGACCACGTCGGCGGGGTGGTGATCATTCTCACGAACACGTGAGGCCGCGACCCAGAAGGCGACCATCACCGGACTCAAAGCCAACAGCAAAAGGACGTTCGTGCAGCCAAGTGGGCCTGACTGGAGCGGACGTCACAACCATCTTGAAGAATGGTGATGGTGGTATGATGTGGTTTGTCCATTCGGGGAGTCAGGGAAGAGCTTCAGCGAACAAGTTCAGATACAGCCCTCCGAAGTATTCTCGGATCGCAAGGCAAATATGTATAATAATTATATATATATATATAATGAGAGACAGCTTGCTATTTATACATATATATATAATGAGAGACAGCTTGCTACCATTTCGACTAGTAGCAAAAAGCTATGAAGGAGAGGATTTCTCCATGGACTGTGATAAAAAGAGCCTGTCTCTGTGCGCAAACTAAATGTCACCCTTCAATTGCAAATGACTGACAGCATGAGAAGAGTCGCCGTGCCTAGGAAGGACGTCATGGTCTTGGAAGGCAATCTTGCTACCTGGAATGATGCTGTACAAAACAAAATTCAGCGTGTGCTTGTGGAGTTAATTGCCCAGAACTTGGTTTGACTTCAGAAATACCTCAAGTCTTCATTTTGTCTTTCCAGCAAACCCAAGGATTCGTGCAACGGTGCATATGAGTGGTAGACAAATCTTTGTGTCCCCAATGCCAAAAGTATTTTGGGTTGGGCTGTATCGGTTTCTATTTTGGATTGCAGGCAATGAGCTACTTTCAATCAAGAAAGGGTATCGGTATAGGGTTGGCCCGTATCAGTTTTGCAAGGTTTGATCAATTCAGAATTGAAATACCAGTAACCTCAGTACCTCAGTACTTGAGCGTCTCATCACTCAAGTACATGCACGGAAGTTTTGTCGGATGCTAAAAACCTCTGGACTGGCAGGGGCACCTATGTAATACACATATTGATCTCTACACCTCGGACGCTGTATTTGACTCCTCCACCCAGCTTTCAATATTCTACTTTGGCAAACTGATCCCACACCTGTATCTTCACCGCATCCTCACAATATGACCAACCTTGGTCGCATGCTTACCTTGCTAACTCCCGGCTGCTCTCATTGACATTGCATCTCATCCTGGACTCGATCTCCTCTCCCAACAACCCTTTTGCTTCTTCTGTACCATCAGAAAACCTCAATCTGCACCATTTCTTGAAACCAGGCTCTGGCCTTTGCATATATAAACACCGCAACAAGTTGGCAAGAATCATGTCATGACGTGTGGAGAGCCTAGAAATTTGAATTGGAGGTCGGTAGCATTGTCAACAAAAACAACCAAAGAAATGAGTTTCTCTTCAGCTCTCACCCTCAATACATACGCACACAAGAGAAGCTACAGAGTGAGGGTGGCCTTGAATCTCCAAATCGCGGGTGCATCCTCCTCTCGTGATCTGTTCACCCCTTCTGTTGGGTCGGTGGGAGGGGTCAATTTTTGTTGTCAGCTCCAACGAAGTGGGCTTCCAGTGGCTTCCAGGTGCCTTTTCCGAGTCACCTTTCCAAGGAGGTAGAGTGAGGTGAAGAGCATCGCACAAAAGGACCTGGTGGGCGAACACACTGAGTGCGTCTCCAACAGAGGTGGGCGACACACTGAGTCTTCATCAGCACTGGCCTAAGTCTATTTTGTTTAAGAATAAATAAGAAGAAACATACTGTTCAAGATTGAGTGGTTTGAGAATAGAACGAGACTTGCACCACATCGGGGCTTTTCTGGAGTCTGACAGTCCGTGTTTGGTCTTTCATGGCCCATTTCTAAAGATCAGGGTGTTCCACGTTCCACCCACCATCTCCACCAGTGCCGCGGTGGAAAGGACTTGCCTCCTGAAAGCCACTCACATGGGACCGACCCCCCACCCCCCTTACTCTCCAAGGGGCGTGCTCGCATGTCCGGAGGGGAAAGACTTCCGTCCATCCTCCGTGGGCGTCAAACACTCGCCAGTGCTCCGGTCCAGGCCACACTCCTCGTAGAAGTAAGGTCTGAAATACCCCACCTCAGCGGCCAAGGAGAAGTAAGGTCCACTTGTCATGTTCAAAATGTCCCCACAACAAGTCACCGGACCTCCTACGTGGTAGGAGAGCGTTTTCGTGGTGGCATTCAGGAATTGGATTGAGTTTCCTGATGAGATGATGAGATTTGGATGAGAATCTGTTTAGAATGCTCAGCCATACAAAAAGGGCATGGCTGCAGAAGTTCCCCGCACTGCATCAACCCCCAGAGTGAGCACAGCCCCAACTCCGCTGCATCTTGTAGCTGTAGCCCGCGCAGGCTACACCCCACTATTCACCACGCCTAAACAAGTGGCATTTTCCAGACCATCCGTGCATCCACAGAACTAGCACCGATCTCGAGAGAAATAGAAAAAAACAGAACTGCCAGGCCAACAGACTGGTGCAACTCGAAGGGAATGAGGGAATGAGTCTCCACTAGTTTAGTATAGTTTAGTCCTTTGGATCCAGCCGCCCTCCTTGCTTATGGGTCGCACCAAACGGATTTCGTGTCACAAAAACGCGGATGTCCACTCTCCAAACGGATTTCTTGTGATCCCTAGTGGTTTGACTTCTAGGCAAAAATATAGGGAGGCCTCAGCTTCTTGGAAAGCCACCAGGAAAATCACCAGGCTGTGAAATGATACGATTTGCATCGCTCTGAAAGAATGGTGTCAACAACATGACGCATGAATCAATGCAAGCCACGTAAAGCTTTACAGCATCCACATTGGCGAACATGCAGCCCACTGCCATCAAGATTCCTCTCCTTGTGGCTTTGGAAGCCAGTCTTCACGCTTCCGTGGCCCCAAAAGCGATGTCCCCAAAGTTTGAGCTGTTGAATCGGGGTCAGCAGGGCTGGAGTGACACAAAAGGTGGCTAGGCGCCACCGAAACGCTCATCATCGCCACAAATAGCTGGGCGTTACTCAACCAATCCAATTGTCATGAAATCGGTTCTCAAAGCGTCATTATGGACGAGCATGAGAAGAAACTGAAACGTTTTCATACATGTTCGGAGTCTGACGTGAGTGATATCAACCCAATGTTGGGAAAGTGACTGACTAACCCACTTCTGCTTCAGAAGTGCCCTAGGGAAAAGTGCATACATCAAGATCTCAAGACCCAAGAGTGGTTTCCTGCGTAGGTTCTGAAAGTGCTGGAAATCAATTTGTGGTCACAAACCGCCCAAACAGAGCTAGATGACCGTCCTCTACACACGTGAAGGCGATTGAAGGTACGCCTAACATGGAATGTCAGGTCACAACATAGTGCTGCTAGAAACTGTATGAATGACAAAGAGGGAAGACTGTTCCCTTCATCTCGAACAAACTGTGCTCTCCAGACTGAACGTCCTGCGGCCAAGCTGCAAGAACGAAGCCACCTCCCCAGATTTGGGCCGCACGTCAAACCACAAGACCAAGGCCAGAGCTCCTCAGAGTCATCGTCAGAGATCTGTTTTGAAGGACACATGGAAAAGTTTCAGGGAGGGTGGTTGAAACGAAAATGCAGAGTTCCCCTGCTTCCGCAGCCTGCTGCTTGATGGGATGGGCTTTCTTGCAAGCAAGCCAAAGACAAGAGATTCAAGGGCATGATACCCTAGCTATTTAACATATGAAAGCAATATACAAGGAATAAGTGGTTCTTGTTGTTAGAGGGTCAATCCACTCAGAGTCATTATTGTTGCAGACATCTCCAGTTTAGGAAGTATATTAATTATATAATCATATATACATAATATTTTATATAACAATCATCCAGCTGGCTACGGACCACCAGGCTGAATCAGGCCGACCATCAGGCCTCCAGGAATCACGATGCACAGGGCAAGGAGAAACGCAGTGGGAACAATCTGCTCATTGCTTGGGATGTACTTGTTGTCGAAGACTTGATTTTCCACAAACACTGTGGTGCCATTGCCTCAGCAAGGGAAGCACAGTGCTTCGTTCTGCAAGTGCAACGCACAACCGAGATGCAAGGTCGTTCGCCAAAAAAAGTGCATGAAGAATCCATTTGGCCAAGATGCTAAGTGTGAGCCTCTGCATGGGAATCTCTCGCTGATAGGGCTTCCAGATGTGAAGCTCCGGCAGCAGGCAAGCGCAGAAGAAAATGAAGACCAACAAGGTATCTCGTGAGAACAGCAAACGGCCCTCAAAGGCGTACATGGCTGCCACTTTGGAAGTCAGAAGCTATCAACGAAAAATGTGTCGTGGAGCCTGCACCCCCAGGTGCTGGCTTTCTGAGATGGGCTGATGAACTTTGAAAGCTGCCCATTGAAACAACTGGCCTGAAAAACTCCAAATCGCATAAGTCCAATCGCTTGAGCAGCAAAAGCTTCATTGTCCGACAGTGAAATGCCCTGTGTGCGCTCAAAATATCCACTACACTACGATAGGTATCTCTTGTGAAGCGTCCTACACCAATTTCTCCCACCTCCCTGGGGCTGACGGCGGGCGATCGCTTTGTTTGGGCTTGAGCTAGTGACAAGACCCAAAGACTGTTGCTTCGGAATCCCGGATGAATGAAGTCTCGTAGCTTCAGACTAAGTCTCGTAGCTTCAGATAATGCTCGCAGATCCAAAGCATCAATCCCGGTCGGGGCCAATGAGACTCGGTGGCCGACTGTGGTCTCGGCGTGTGGAAGACGACTGTGGCTGGGCCACAGAAAGGGAAAGACCCAGCCCTAGGCATCCAACAACTGATCAAACTGCTAACGAACCACTTTGAAACACCAGATGTCAGGTCCAGGGCTAAAGTGCTGGGCCCTGTTGGCGACAGCACCGGAAGAGATGGGCCACAGGAAAATCGACCCACAGGACATCCATGGGAAACGGCCTCACATCGGCGGAAAACCCCCCGCCTGAGCATGGCGAAGCAGACGGGCGGGCGAAGCAGACCAGCTTAGGTCCTGCACCCTCAAACCAGAGTAATCAAGTTCTGTCTGTTCCGAAGCCCCGCAGCAAAGGACTATAGTCAGATCTCGGGATCTCAGAATATGTTGCCAAAGACAGATATCTAACAAATCCCCAAGTTACACGTCTCTGTTTGGAATTAAGTATCATTCAAACCCTCGTGATGTTCGTTGGCATGCAATGTCCCCACAAATCCATATGTTCACACCTTTTCTGTTGAAGGCTTTGTTGCCATTCCTTACCCACCAAATGATAATATCCCGCGTGTGTTGGGAAAGTCCAAGTGCAGGGGCTTCGATTATATAAAGCATTGCATTTAAAAACGAAATCTCTCTCTTCACAATTCAGCGACGGCTATGGCCGATTTGGACTCGGCCAGCAATTCACCCAACCACCTGGTCGCTACCTCACACGGAAACGGAAAACAGATCTACCGGGGAGGCAGAGCCACGGGCGCGGCCTTCGACGCGTTCTCAGAGCCGCGAGGTGAGGAGCTGAAGCCGTGCCACGAGGCGGTCCCGGAAGCTGGCGGCACCTGGGGGCCAGCTTGGCCACGCCGAAGAAAGGCGACGAGAGGCCCAAGTGAATGGTGACAGCCGGAGAATCACAGGGATTGCAAGCTTGGCATAGCAAAAGTCCCATAGGTCACCAACGGAAGCGGTGTTGGGTCCTTATTATATCTTTCTTGCATGAGAAAAATCACCGCAAGTCCATTGACCAGGTCCATTCCCGCAGCACTTCGCTCGCCCTCGCGCACCAACGCGCAAGCGCGCGCCCACGCGCGCGCGCGCGCGTGCCACGGGCCTAAGGCTACTTGCCGTGCTGCCTGGATCGCATGCTCCTGGGACAAGACTATTAGTAGCAAGAAGCTACTAGGAGCAAAGGGCATCGCTACTACCAACAAGGACGCTACTAGGGGCTCCTGGCCGTACTACTAGGAGCAAGGACACTACTAGGAGCAAAGGGCATGACAAGACATGGGGTTGGCGAGATGTGCCGTCTCACGGGCCAGGATCTGCACGGGCGAAGTGCTGTCTCACGTTTTGACGGGAAAGTGACGAAAACACTGCCCTGAGGAGACTCAGTATCCACCTATGAAAGTGCTCTCGTCCCCTTCCTGGCAACTTCTCAGTGAAAGGTTGCGTGAGCTGATGATGCTAATCCTAGGTCCCTGTCCCGGTGGGATGACTCTGCTTATGGAATACAACCTCTTCAGATTAGCGAGTGGATCCAAAAGCAAGGGCAAGGTGCCGTCTGTCAAGTCCACTTCCCAACATCTTCACCGCTCCGCCGTGCAAAGCGGGGAAGTGCCAGAAGCTTCAGCCTGAAGCTCGCGCAACGAACAAACGGATTCGAGCCTTGCGAGATTCCACCGGAGCACTCAAAACCAGCAAAATTTGCCTAAACAATCGAAAATCCATCGGCGCAACAGTCCAAGCAGCTTCCAACCCAGGTTTCACCCGCCTCCGCAGACGCCAACGTGGCAGCATCGTCCAGAACGTCCAGAGCACGGTCTGGGAGAAAGCGACCTGCACTGTGGGGCAGTTCCGTCTGTTGCATATCTTCGATACCATAAAAAGCAAACTCCCACAAAAGAAAAGGAAGGCCCGCTAGGGCCTGAGCAATGTCTAGCAGCCAGAAGGTTTTGTCATAGTATAGTCAGTATAGCATAGTTTGCCAATGTTTGCCAATGTGCCATGTTTCCAGCAAAAAATATGGCGAATGGGCATCAAAAGCACAACCAACCATCAAGCTAGGGGAGCTGATTCTTTCATGAGCAGCAGTACACCAAAATATCATCACCTTTCACCACCTTGTCAGTATGGAACTTGCATCATCTGTGAACCATGGAGTGATGTCCCGTGTCTTTGGAAGGACTGTGGGAAGGTTAACTTGGTTGTTAACCAGTTAATCATTGAAAATTGGATAAGAAATAAGTAAGAAAGATTTTGAAGGTGCACCACGCTGGTGGCTCCTGTGTCAGGATCCTCTTCAACAACGCATCGGCGCCAGCCTCTGAGTGCCCGTGAGCCACGCACGGAGGCTCGGACTGCCTGTGAGGTCGGTTCAGTCCAAAGGCCCCTCTAAGGTGACAGTTTAGTCCTTCAACATCACCACTTTCAAAACTCCAACATCAATCTTGACTAACATCATCTTGAATCATTGAACAGACTCAACAAATTCAAACAATGTCAAACATCCATCTTCGGAATCAACCCATCTTGGGATTGGATCCTACAACCGAACCCTTGGCGTCAACTTGGAGGCTGTGCACAGCATCATGGCAACGGCCGTCCACCCCACACTGCGGCAAGGACCTCTGGCGTGACCTTGACACCATGGTGCTGCCTCATGCCAAGATGAAAATCTGCATCTCATGGTATCCGAGAAATGCATTCCTAAGATCAAGGTCTCTCAGAAAGACAAAATCTTCACCATTTGCCATATTTTACCCCTATGTAGTGGTGGATGATCACTCTCAGCTGGGGTAAAATGAGTCATTGGAGGTTCTGGGCATCCGCCCCAACTCATGGATTTTGCGGCTTTGCTTCTGGGGGCCCCGTATTGAGCTGCCTTCCCCGGCCCTCCCCGGAGGGCGATATGTGAGGCGGTTCGTCTAGAACACAAGAAGGGTGGCAGTGTATTTCGTTTGCACCGCTGGGTTGAGAGAGGTTGCTTTAGTTGGAGGTTATGCAACAGATGAGGGGCATGATGGATGATTGTGTGGCGTGGTTTGCACACAGGGTGCGACTGAAATAGATGTCAATTGGACTCAGGGATCCATTGTGTAATGATGCACACCCACCTCGGTCGATCTCAAGGGCCCAGCTCGAACGCTGGGCACATCGCCAGCAGCATTTCTTCAGCTGCAGCCTTGACTCCGCCCAACACGTCCGGACCCACATCGGTGCAAAGCTCAAAAGACCAGCAGGTCTTTTGGGAGAAAACTTTCAAATCACTGTGTTGAAGGTGACCTAAGGTGGCCCACACCAGCTTTCAAGCAATGGCACAGCTCCATTCCATGTCGCGGGAAGAATGTATAACTTATGTAATAGGCAATGCTCGAGTACAAAGAGACTCAAAGGGTGTTTACCATGAAAATAGGAAATGCCCTGCTGCACAAAGCAAGGGATAGAAAATTGGTTCAAGCATTGTGTCAAGCATGTTCAATAATGATGTATAGAGAGAATGAGAGATTAAGGTGCAGGCGGTGATCTGCACAAACTTCAAACACCACTCGAAACTTTTAAAAGAATTTGAAGCATCACAAAAGAGAATCTGAGCACTCTATAAAAAGAAAGATTTTCCACCCTACCAGTCACTCCCACCCACTAGGTTGGAACCTCTGTGGGTTCAGAGAGCTCCACAATCACAAAGCGGCGCTCGAAGGCCTTGTCCTGGCCAAGAAATATCTGAAATGTCAATCACGCAAAGGGAAGCGGGCATTCAACACATATCCTACGACTAATTACTATGTGCACGTGTTTGATATTTGTGGCCGCTCCAGCGACTGCTTCTGTCTGTGCAAAAACGGGCTGTCCACTTCAATGTGACAGTTGGATAGACGAATAGAGGATGATAGGGGGATACACACGGGATGATGGATGACTTGTATGATTCAACATGCACTCCACACCTGTGATGATGATTACTATTGTTGTTATTATGATGACTATATATAAACCCTCAAACCTTTGCATCTGCAGGCTTCTTCAGTTCAACCCCCAAACCACTAACAGGGAATCCCAACTGCGTAGGTTACGCTTAACGTAGCTCATGGGCCAAATGTCCTTTTGCTGGCCTGATTCTGGATGAGCTTCTTATATTCCGCAGTGGTTGTGGCACCTGAGCTTGCAAAAACGGCAATGATTAGATGTTTGTCTCCAAGACCGCCATCACAACCATGGCTGCAATTCGTCAGCCTTCATGAGACATCCTCCAAACTTCAATGTGTTTACACATGGATGCGCGATGATTCCAAAGCTTTTTCGCTATGCAAGCGTTCTTTGGCCCACGAACATTCATCATTGGGATGCCTCTTCATACTGAGGAGGAATACAGCCATACAATGCCATGCGGCCTATACATCGCAGCTCACCCCTGGCCAGCGCTGGCTTCAGCAGGTTGGCCTAAAGGTGTCCGCCAAATGCTGGCGGGATCAGCCTCATTGGAGGCTTTTCCAGGATATCTCTAGCTCAAGACTCAAGAGGTCGTGGTGTTTTTGTCTGAACAGAAACTAAATCTATATATTATATATCAAAACCGTGTCCGACAAGAAACATCTTTGAAGCGAGCGTTAAGAAAAAGTTCCAAAAAAGCATCAAGCCGAACTTCCCAGGAAAGCATCAAAAGAACCACCATGACTCACCATGACTCCCGACCGCATCCATGGAGCTGCCCTTCTCGGTCTCACCTGCGCCCAAGGCCTGAGCCCCGAAAACGCAGCAGCTGCTTGGTGTTTTTTGTCTCTACCGTTCACTTTGGAATCGCGTCAGAGTCAAAGCCGAGTGGGTGATCTGACTTTGAGTTCTCATGCAGTCATCCTGACATTGTACCCAAATCACAAGGGGAAAGAGAGACGAAAGTGGAGAATTTGTCAGCAATTCATTGATCCATTTCTAGCTATACGGCTATACGTGAGACATTTTCCAATATTTTCCTCTCTGCTGCGGCCAAGCAAAAAAGCCATCCAAAATGCCAAAAGAGAACATCCATCACATCTTTGAAGCAGAAAGGCCCCCACCATGTGGATTTCATCAATGAAGAGAATCACCTGGCCGTTTCAAAGCGAGCAGGCAGTACCCGATCCACTCAGCAGGGGATCCTGATTTTGTTGGCGGAGACTCAAGAGCCACAATCGTCGGTTGTCCTCTTTTCGTTGTGCTCACCAACTTGGTGAGCTCACCAACTTGGTGAGAATGTCGCATGCGCACTTAACAGAAGTGTTAAAAGAAGTTGAGAAAAACACTAGTAGCTCCTGGCATTGCTACTAGGAATAAGAAGCTACTAGGAACTCACACTCCATCTCACAGGGTCGCACCTCTTCCCGAAGGCCCGAGAGCTCCTTCAAGAGTTTCTCCATGCGCTTCTCAAACTCCCCACGATACCTCACCCAGGTGTCAAGCAGAAACCAGATTTCTCCCTTTCAAAGTCAATAGTTGCTGTCTTTGGAACAGTTTCATGTATGTGAAGACTAATACCAGAGTGTACAGTGCGTGTATGTACGTGTATATATATATATCTATAGAGAGAGAGAGAGAGAGGTAGAGTTTTGATGGGTTTCGTCACTGTAAGTCCACATTCTTCACAGCATCTGTCGGGCCTGGTGCCACCCACCAAAGAGCCCAAGCTCAGCTGGATGACCTTCTGACAGCCCATCAGCTGCCTGTCGTGGACACTTGGGTGGGAAGTTCGGTATCTAAACTCAAAGGTTATGGCGCAATGTTCCAGGCATAAAGCAATGCAGCATGAATCAACCCAACGCCATGCCAGGCATGAGTGCCAGAAACAGTTATAAAAGACCTGCAAGCTCTTCCGACACAACATGCATTCTATGTGACAAACAAATGGATCTGATCTGTGCGTTAATATCAGTACGCATAGTAGGCATACAGATTGCCTACTCAATTTGGGAATCTGAGAATTGAGGATCAGACTGTCATGTATCTGCAGGGCACTAAAATCTTCGGGGTCAAGGTAGAAGGCATGAGTGAAAGTGAGCAGCTGCGAGTGGATGTATTTGAGAGATAGTGAAAATGGCTAAAGTGAATGAGACAGAGAAAAGCCTGAGTGTATCTGCATTGTGGAATGAGCGGTAGTTAGAGCAAGCGTGAGTTAAAACTAGACGACGAGTGGCCCGAAAGCATTTTTCATCACGTAGGAAGTCAGAGTGTGAGTTATCTGTTAAGTGTTCAGTGTGAAGTGTTAAGTCGAGTGAGTTGAGGCAGTGTGTGGGTCTCTGTGTGTGTATCTATGTCTGTGTGTGTATGAGTCTCTGTCTGTGTGTGTGTGTCCGAGTAAGTTGAGGCAGTGCGTGGGTCTCTGTGTGTGATGTGTGTGTATGAGTTCCTGCCTGTCTGTGTGTGTGTCTATGTCTGCTGCTGGTGAAGGTCTTCACTGTAGATATAGTGAACGAAGTAGCGCGCAGGCCTCCCAAACCCCCCACCGACGGCCAAGCGGTGACAGCTCAGCTCATCTTCGAGAGCATTTGAGCTGCTGGTAAAGGGAAATAGTCAAGCACACAGCTCTTCTGTCTGAGAGCCCGACCCTCGCTGAGACGTTACATCCACCTCAGAGTGTCCATTCCTTGAGAAGCAGCGTGCACGCCTCCAGGAAATCTCACTGAAAAAAGCGAGCTGGAATGAACATAGAAAATTGCTGAGGCAGCTACGCAACAAGTTTAGCTATTCCGCGTCCTACAGTTGTACTCCTACTGAAGTTGTACTACGACGTCCCCAGTTCTCATCTTCCAGCTCCTCAGGTCCTCCGCGTCTAAAGTTTTACTACGAAGTCGCCAGTTCTCATCTTCCAGCTCCCCAGCTACTCCGCGTACTACAGTTGTACTACAAAGTCGCCAGTACTCCTCTTCCAGCTCCCCAGATACTCCGCGTGCTAAAGTTGTACTACAAAGTCGCCAGTTCTCATCGTCCAGCTCCCCAAATACTCTGCGTACTAAAGTTCTACTACAAAGTCGCCAGTTCTCAGCTTCCAGCTCCACAGATTGCTCCGCGTACTAAAGTTGTACTACCAGGTCGCCAGTTCTCATCTTCCAGCTCCCCAGATACTCCGCGTACTAAAGTTGTACTACCAAGTCGCCAGTTCTCATCTT